TATATATATATATATATATATACTTAAATTTGTTTTATTGCCCTTTGAACTTCTGTTCATGCCATTATAAATTGTAAATCACTTGGCTAACATGTAGCTTATGTTATGCAAGAGCTGCTCAGGAGCAAACCTAGTGAAAAAATGTTATTATATTATTATTTATTTCACTTAATCTAACCTTAACTATCATAAAAGTTTCCTACTTTTGCATTTTAAAACAAGAAAAATAAAATATCTGTGTTTTCTTTCTTTTTGCTGTCCATGACACTTAACCCTATTTTTTTAAACTAATGGTGGTACTGCAATAAATAATTTTTATCTCGTTAAATGATGCACCAATGAATAAAGAATAATAACATGCAAAAAGCAGACAATGTTTCATAACTATCATAATTTTTCTGGCTTTCTAGCTATTTGACAAGAGACATTAAAACTTCATCTAAGCTCATCAGTGTGTTTCCCATGGGAATCAACCTTGAATTGAAAGTGAAATTGACAATTATCTTTATAGAAGACAATGTAATATAATTAGTCATTTGATAGATGAAAATGTTGGCTTTCTATTGGTTATAAATAATGTAGTATTGAACGTCAGAGAAAAAACATTTAATTTCTGGAATAGAGGATGTGACATGGGTGTTGCAAGAGGGGTCGGGTTGTCTATTTCATAGCTTTGTAAACAAATAAAATTGAAGGCTATGAAAGAAAATTATGCTTTGCCTGATTTATAAGTAATTTACATTAAATTTCATACTTCTTGGAGGGGTGGTAATTAAATTAGAGAAGAGGGGATGCCTAGAAAACAAATTCACAATTCTCGTACTCTGGGAAGTTTCAGATTTTCTTTAATATTGCCTTATAGAAGTAAGAACTTAAACTTGTATACTATTAAAATATGGATTATTAGCTACATTTATATGTCAAATTTATTCATATATCATGATAAGAAAGTAATTTAATTAGATTTCGAATGTAACTCTCAAAAACGTTGTGCCTATGGGGATAGGGTTAAATAAATAAGTCTGAAGCTTAGTTTTGTATTTGTTAGCAGTGGCTGAAATCTGTTATTTTACAAACTGTAATTCATTTAACTAGATCTTGAAGTTTTTTCATTCAAAGATAATTTCTGTATGTGGTGTAAAAGGAATAAACATACTTTTTGTATATAGTTTCCTCATGCATCCAGACAGTTTGAGACTTGTACGTATCATTCATTTATTAGTTTTGTGTTTCTGTTTTTGCTGCTGAAATGTAGAAGGATGAACAAAGTGGCATAACATACAACACTGTCTATGCTGTATATTGAACACTGCTGTTTTAGGTGATGTGTCCTTTGTCATCAGTCTTATATTAATCTTTTCTGTAGGGTTTTCTCATTTAAAAAAATGTTTTATGTTCAGTGTAAATGAGCTTCACTGGATTTGAGTTAGGGCTTAAAAATTCTATTTAGATGATTTAGTACATATACATTAAGTATGTGTGTGTGTGTGGTATTTAAAATGAATAAATAATGCAACATTTGACTCTTCAGAAGTGTTCTTACAGTTACATTCCTGAAAAGGACATGAAACCATTGAAACATGTAAAGTGATCTTAGTGAGGAACATGGATTGGGATTGATTGTCTCAAGATGTTTTAAATTGTGTAAATTCAAACATTATCTATGTTATTTATTGATCTTAAAACTTTTACACAAGAGCTGGAGTACAGTATAAAAAATAAAATGTATGTGTGTGTGTGTGTGTGTGGTAATCCATCTGACTTGGTAATGTACATTTTGAATTAACATAATACACCTTCACCTAAAATTTATTTTACTTGCACATAGAATATTTTGTTAATTGGTCAATTTGATTCACAAAGATTCTTGGGTTGATAAATTGATGTAATTTTAATTACCGCTATTGATACTTTTCATCTTAATATCTGTAAATCTTTTACAATTAAAATTGCTATATGTTCTTTCTTTCTTTCTCTCTCTCTTCAATATCTATCATTGGCATCTCTTGAACAACTACACACTTTTGTCCTAGGAACCAATTATTATTGAACAAACTCATTCAGATGAATTGGACCAGGTTAGTAAACAAATGAGGTATAAAATTATTTATAAGTTCAATAAATTGAAATAGAAAGTATAGTAGCAAGAAATTATTTTAATCAGGAGTAGAATATTATTCAGAAACATGTAAATTATTAAATTTTGTACAAATACATTAGAAAAATGTAGCTTGAGTATCTTAAGGTTGATCTATTTGTTCCAGATAAAAATGTTCAAATTGTCATGAAAGCAGAGGATAAATTATTTTAAAAACAACAATTAAACATTACCTATATATTGACTGTATAAATAAGACAAAATTTATTTGTTGAGTGTTCAATACTTACAGTTCCTATTCTATGGTATATGACCAGGTATATATATATATGTCTAATTTGATGTTTTTTCCATACAGTTTTATTTGCAGTTTAAAAGTAGTAGTTTTTACAGTATATATCTAATTTCAAATGGTGGAATACAGCATATATTATACATTTATGTTAAGTGGTGATTGTTATACAACATCAAAATATGCATTGAGGTTTTGGAAGAGTTTCAGATGTGGACTTTATTCTTGAAACTGTTTTATGTAACAAAAATATTTCTTAGGCCTTTTTCAAAGTGTCTGTTTTTCCTTGCATGTGTGGTAACTAACGTTTTTCCTTCCCCACTTGTGATTTAGCTCTCAACCACAGTCCCATCTGACACCTTTTCAGCTTCAGTCACACCTTACACTGCAGAGGTAAAGATGGCTTGTAGCTTTTGATATTTACTTTATTCTACTGTATGCTGTTGGTTTTGAAACAGCTGTTACCTGGGAAACAATTCTTAGCACAAAACATGTTTGTAAACTTTTTTTTTATACAAGTTTGCTATCATAAGATATTTCCTATGTCGTAACTTTCTTCTTTTTTTACAGTGAAGTTCTGAATTGCTTTTCGTTATAAAATATTTGTTATTGACTAAATTTTCATTAGCACGTTTCATTTTTGGTGAATTTATAAGTCAACTTTTTATTTAAAACATGGTAATACCAAAAAACATTTGTAATTATGGATGTTTTGGAAGAGCTTCAAATTCCATCATCAGCATTAAAACCTCAAATATTCACAATATCCTAACTAGAAAAAAGAACATTAGATTTTAAGCAAGTAGTTTTTATACAATGGAAAGTTAAGAAAGAATAAATTTAAACAGTAATAACAGTATGGAACCTATCATAAAGCATACAGTACATGTGCAATAATATTGTTAAGAGAAATGATTACAAAGAAAGGCTAAAATATAAGTATAAAAACCGTTTCTTTAAAATAATAATAAAAATAATGACAATAATCAAATATAAACACTGGGAATCTGGAATTGGTTAAATTATGGCAGCATGGGGTATGTGATGCTATTACTTAGTGTTGGGTGATTATTTAAAATGGAAAGGCTTTCTTAAATAAAGAGTTTATAATCTGTGTTTCCAGAATCAAGAATTCTAGTTTTGAAGATGTATGCAATTGTTATTTTTCTCACTATGAAATTGGATACAAGACTCAGGTGGATTAGTTAGCTTATTACCTGCTTCTACCTGAAATTCTCATGTACTCATATTTGTAGGTAACAAGCAGTTTTACCAATATAGATCTTGTGAGTTTAGATATTTTAAAAAATCCTTGGTGCTGTTAGAATGTAAAAGCATAGAAAAGTATCATTGATGTAACTAACTATTTGAGGTTTTAATGCTGATAATGGAATTTGAAGCAATTCTAAAGCATCCATAATTAAAGATGTTTTTTTTCTTTTTGGTTCTACTGTGTTCTTAGTATTTATTACAAAACTTAGGTTTCCCCTTGGTAATTTTTATTTATTTGTATATAGTTACCTGTATTTGATACGCTTATATGTGAAATTGACAGAAAATATCAAAATCATTATCTGTTTGCAAACTTGTTGACTTCTGAATTATAACTTATGATTAGAAGTTCCTTTTGTTGGAAAAAGAAGTGTAGATTAACTTCATACATGGAACTCCCTTCTGTTAATAAAGGACAAGTTTGGTATATTATCATTAATATAAAAACTTTAAGTCACATTGAACAAAGACTTGATCAAACTGAAAAATACAACAATTATTTTTGTTACTGGTGCTTTGTGTGAAATTCAGAAAAACAAAATGGATAATAATAATAATAATCAAAATTATCTGAAAACAGTCTGCAATTTCATTATATTGAAGTTGTGGATGATATGATTCTCTAATATAGTGTGATAACTTTGTCAGTAAAACAACAGTTATATGTTACATGTGTATACCTTTATTTGCTTGTTTAATTTGTGTATCAAATTTAGCATGATTCATAGTTTTCCTTACCATCTTTGTGTTTGAACTATGTTATAGCATTTTTTTTTTACGTGCCTAAGTAATTATAATATTTTTTACATCCTCCCATATGGTGTATGTTCCTATGTAATAACCTGTTTAGCTCAACTTCGTATGTATTTGTTTTAGAATTATATTAACATGTTAGTTTGTAAAATTAAGTTGCCTTCGTTCTCACTGTTACCTTGTGAGAAGTGTTGGAAATTTAAATGCTTTTATGCTCCTTAATTTCTTAAATTATTTAACAGTGTTTAACATTAAAGAACTAGTGATATTGTGTATTGTGGTTTGGCAATTGACTCCGTGAAGTACATAATACAGTGTGCTGTTTAAAATTAATAAACAGTGTACATTTATCTGCTAGTAAAATGTATATCTTATTGTGTGTGTGAATGTCATAGTCCCAAAATTCATTATCAAACTATTATGCACTATGGAGGATTGGGTACGCTACATTAACACGATGCAAATTCAGCAAGTCACGCGACAACTACAGCTGAGATAAAGCTGCAGTGGAATAGCATTTTGACATTGTTTGGTGATTCATAGATAATATGATGCCTCTGAAAATTTATAACGTTTTGGTAGGGTATGTAACAGCTCTTTCAAACCAGGAATTTAGAATTTCCAATTTCTTGTAATTAATGGAATTGGAAAGCAGAGAAATATGAATCAATTTAGAACACTTGGGCCATTCATAAGGAGACATATAAAAACTTGTACCACAGTGGTAAGCAAAGTGCTGCATCTAGTAACAGGTAAAAATCCATGAACACAAAGGTCAGTGGCAAAAGCTGTCCATGTGTCTCAGGCAACAGTAAACAACATACTTAAGAAGGATCTCCATCTGGAAATGGGAGCATCAAGATAAGATTTCTCATCATATCTCCATCCAGTCAAGTGTACTACAAGCAGCTGGAGTTTGAATTGGGTATTCATGATGTTCCATATGAAAACATACTGGTCAAGTCAAAAGGAGTATCTATGGATTTCTGTGCAGTATGACTATTGAAATGAGTGCTGAGAAACCATCATCCTTGTACAGTAGATTTATTATGGAAAGCATGCAGAGAATGGAGGTGTGCTTTTACATGACAATCTTATGACAGAGCATTTTGCTATGGAAACTGTGCTGCAGGGCTACTGTCAAGAGGCACTGTTTTAAGATACAGTATGGCTGTATGTGGACTGTTACAATGTGGTGAGACTCCAAAATCGTTTTAATATAACATACTCAACCTCTGTGCACTTTATGATTGATCATTTCTGTCAATTTTGGTTTAAAGTTAAAACTTTATTCATTGGCTTTTAATGCAATCTTGGGACTTCAGGCTACAAGGTCAGACAGTCCTGCAGTTGAGAGTCCTAAGCCTAAGGTAATGAGTTGTGTTGTATTTTAGATATGTTCTACGTTTGAGCATGAGGTCTGCATGTTATTAGTACACCTTTTGAGTCCCTTAAGTAGTTAATGTTATGTTGTGAGTGCATTTGACCATTTATATTTTTAAAACTGCACATCTGAGGTTATTTATAAACACACTGTTTCCATTAGTACAGTAGACATTAAGGTAGTAGTTCTTAGATAGGTCAGCTTGCTATGTTTGACTCTTTTGATGTTTATAATATATATAATATATTGCCTCATTCCCTTAGTCATTTTTTGAGATATTTCAATATGATTTTTATTTATTTATTTATTATTATTAAAATATACAAAAATTACTAAGGCAACATCATAAGCTGCCTGCTTTTGGGAACTTGACTTTTAAGTCAAAAAGTCTGAGTGCATATAGTTGGAACTTTTACTTGCACATTTTAACATTAGATGCATGGTGGTTAGGTGACAAAAAGGTTAAGAAATGTTTGACAAGATGCCACATAACTTGTTAAAATAGTTATCTTGGGGTTTAGGGGATAGGTTGGCTCATTGAGTAGAAAACTGATTGGACAGAAGAAAGCAAATGGTTATGTTAGATAGAGTTAAAGCTGGATTAAAGTCATAAGTGTGATATCCCAGGGATCAGTGTTAGGACTTTGGCTCTTTGAATTTACATCAGTGACATAGATGAAGGAATGGATAATAAATTATTTAAATTTGTTGATATTAAAGTTTTGGGTGTTGTTGGCTGTGAGGAGAATGCTGCTGCTTTACAAAAAACTTGGATTGTTTGGTGGGTTGGGTGAATAAATGGTTGATGACTTTTAATTATAATATATGCAAGGTAATGCATATAGGATATCACAGTTTGAATTATTAGTATAATTTTTATTGGAATAACCTTAAAAGTGTTATGGAAGAGTAGGATCTTGGTTTTCTAATTCATCAGTCTTTTAAGCGAACCAAGCAATGTGTTGTTGCTAGTGGTAGGGCAAATAGAATTGTAAGTTCTATCAGTAGGAATACTTGAGTAAATGTCTAAAGAGGCTGTAATGTCATTGTATAGATCGTTGCTTGGTCCACATTTGGAACACTGTTTAAATCTTTTCCTCCTTACATTAGGAAGAATATTAAATTGTTGGAAAGGGTTCAGAGGAGGGCTACTATGATGATACCTGGGATGGAAAGGTTGGTGTAAAAGAATAGGTTAAGATCTCCTAAATTTGTTTTTTCTTGAAAAAAAAGATTGGAGGGGATATGATCTATTTGTTCAAGACTGTTAAGGAAATTGATAGTGTTGATACATCATGTTTTTCATATTTAATTGTGAGAATGGTAAGAGCAGAAGACACGAGTATAAATTTTAGCTGGATAGGAATCGCCTTCGGCCAAGATAGCTTTATTTTTCTAATAGATTGGTCAGCCTTTGCAGTAAGTTACCTTCAGACGTAGTAGATGCAGCTAACTTAAATTTTAAGACTTGTTAAATATTAGAATGCATAAAGATTAGATTTCAGCGTTTTTGTTTTATTTTAGAGTTTAGTAGATGGGACAGCTTAAATAGACGAATGGGTCCTTTGTTGCCCTTATATCTCGTTGACATTTGTAGTTGAAAGTAAAAGGGAAATACTCTCTAGCATTGAATTTTGAACAACCAGTGATATCTTAGTACAAACATTAAATTACTTTCACACTTGTTTCTTGGAATAATTAAAAACCTGTTCCATCATGATTAAATATGATGAAAAACTGTGAAATGTTCTAAACATTGAGAAACCTATTTTGAAAAAAGATGTTTTGTGTTTGTACAATGTTTTAATTGTGACATAGCTGATATTTTAATATGATGTATATTTTTAATATTAAGTAATGTAATGACTAAAGTAACAGGAAATGTGAAAATCCACTAATCTAAAGAAATACTTAATCATCTTTATAGAAAGGTGAAAGTTTTCTATCAGAGGATGCTGTGGAACTTAATATTTTAATAGACTTTAATAGTTTCTGTAAGCCATGACATAAGTCTTTACATATGTATAACTTATATATAACAGTATAAAATGGGTAAAGCATGTTTATATCCCAAAATATAGTTTTGATTACTAAATAGCATTATTGAAGAGAAAAAAATATACCTACTCAAAATATTAAAAAAGAAAAAAGATACAAAATGAGAAGCTAATGAAGTTGTAAATGTATGATTGGCTAGGAATGTATTTCTTCACTGTTAATTTTTTTTTTAGCTAAGTAAGTAAATTTTATACAGTTGGGAAAACTGATTATGTAAAAATGTTTTACTCTTCTCTGAAACTTCTGCAAATCTTTCTCCTTCAAATTTATCACTTGTTGTAAAAGTAGGGGAAAATTTATGTATTTTAGTTTTACATTAATTTGTTCAACTTGAAAGTTTACAGAGTATTAATAACGTATTATAGTTGTAATATTTACAGCATTGTATGAACACTTGACAAGGATGCATTCAGTAGTTTGTATTACCTGTTCTGCTAAACCATGTGGTTGGGGTTGATAAAGAGAAGTGTAAACCACACCTAACACGTTACAAAACTTATAGAACATTTGGGAGTTGAAGTTAGCTCTCTGATCCATGTAGATATCTTCCATAGCTCTAGTCTGTGCTGTTCAGTGCTGTGCAAACACATTGCTACAGATTATGGCAACATGCTGTTGTTCCTACAAAAATTATTAACCATTTCAGTGAAGCATGGCCTACCTAAAGGGTAAACCTTCTATTGTACAAGTAAAAGTGATAGTATTTTATTAAGACCATAACTGAAAGCATTTCTTTTTTCATCATACAATATCTGAATTAGGGAGCTGTGAGTGTAGGACTAATGTACAGGATTTCACTTCCTACTCTGTCCTGCATCTATGATGACACTGCCCTGAATTTATTGGTGATATATAATAAGAATTCCATTTCTTGTTGTGGATATGTCATCACTGGAGCATCCTTAAGACATGTTTTAGGGATTGGAATGCTTGGTCATGTTCTTTGCTCCACTCAAAATGCATCTCAGTTCTATTGAGAGCAGACAGTGGTGTAGCTCCCTTGAAGAATTTGGCCACAAACCATCAATAATATGATATTAAACTGTGAAAACTGCTTACTTCTTAGTTGGTCACAGGCTGAGGTCAATCTCTCACTGTTGCTATTTTAGCAGGGCCCATAGAGAGACTGTTTTATCTACATTGTAACCAAGAAACTTCACTTTTGTGCACATGAGCACACAATTTCCTGGTTTCAGTTTTCAAACCTGCTTCATTTATCTGCTGGAACACAATTATCAAGTTCTCAGCCACAGACTTGAAGATGTGAACACACACTAAAAGATCATCACTGTAGACCTGGCCTCTTTCCCATTGTAGCCTTTTTTATTGTAAGCTCTATTAGCCTCTTAAAAGTGGTGGGCATGCTAAATGGCATGATGTTGGAACTCTTACATCCCACCTCTTGTGCTAAAAACAGTATTAGATATGATCTCATCATTCAGCTCAAATTGCCAGTATATGGATGCTAGAACTGAAGTGTTAAATCAACAAGAACCTTCTAATGAGTCCAGGCATTTATTTATTTTTTACAGTAAGGGAAAGGTGAGAACATCAGTTACCATGCCCACAAGTTTAAAATCAACAGAATCTTGGTGTGTCATCATTTCTTCTGACTCTCACTACTGAAGATGACCAAATACTCTCTAAAGGTTGTTAACTCTGTTCTTCAACATCCACTGTATCTTAGAACAAGCTATTTTCCTTGTGCTCCCGGGAATCTTACACAGCAGTTGTTTTATCTGGTGTGTATTTCCTATATATATATATATACACAGCATGGTCACAAGTAAATAGACACCAC